AACAATGTGTAGGGATTTCTCACTGGTCCGGAATATCTTGCAAAAGAGAGATTTTGATTTTAAAGAGTAAAAGCTATCTGTGTGAAGAGAACCAGGAAACAGTGGGACATATTTTCCTATATTGCAGGTGCTCTAGATAGTATTCAGTGTTGTTTCTTAATGTTATTGGTATGGGTGATGCCGCTGAAGATTAAGAGCTTACTAGAATGCTGGCAAAGCCAAAGGATTTCAAGACATCTGAAGCAAATTTGGAAGACCATATCCATATGCATTTTTTGGATCATTTGGCTGGATTGAAACAAAGCTTACTTTAAAGGAAAAAGGATACATATTTCTAGAACTAAGAATAAATGTTTGCATAACTTTTATGTTTGATGTAATAGTAGTTTGTTAGGAGAGATCACATGACAGATTGATGGTATGATGTGTAGAAGGTTGTTGAGTCCTGCACTACATGTGTAAGCTTGGTACTTCATTTGTAAATCTACACCTTTTTAAAAAAAATGAAGATAGAGATTCTAAACATGAATTTCACAGGAAATGTTATAGGTGGGAGTGGCAGGGAAGCAAGGGTTGGGGAGTAGGAGGGGATGAAACTTACCTCTAATTGGATTGGGCGTCAATTACACAATCCACATTTGATTGGCAAATCCCGTCCAGTTGCTTCATTTCATTAGAAACCGAGAAGAATTTGCAATACCCTGGGCCTTGACCCTGTTCAGCACTTGGCTATCAACTGACCCCTTAGCACTTTCAAACTGTTGGAGTATCGCCCGCAATCTATATAATTCTTGCTTTTGAAATTTGTTCTGTAGATTTGTCCTGCTCTTTAGGAATTTTGACTTGTATCTCAAGCAACAGTTTTTTCTACAATGTTGTTGGTTGGCTTTTCTTCTTCGACATCTTCCTCTCAAGAGGAAACTCTTACTTCTTTAGATCTCGAGCACTCATTTTTCTCCACAGAGATTGATTACCATTGTCAACCCCGAAGGCTGAAATTTTTGTAAGTTCAGGATTCTTGGTTGTATCCCCTTTTCAAGATATTACCTGCAGAAATATTCAACTTGGTGAAGCTTGTTCTTGTCCAACTCTTCATTATGATAACATCCTTAGGTTGCTCTGTTACCTATTGTTTCATTTCTATACTATGTTTCACTCTTGAAATTAATACGAGTTCTCTTTGTGCTTGAAACATTGAAATTGTAGTTGTAGTGTTCCATGTTCATCACCATTCAGTTTTCTCCAATATTGAGATCATTAGGAACATGGTCTCTTTCGCTGTGACTTGTTGGAGTTGGGTCATTTATAACCATTCATTTAACTTTTCAGGACCGAAACAGAGTATGTCAGCCAGATGCTGACGAAGATAAAACGGTTTGCACAACACCATTCATGTCATGTTTGGTTTGTTGCACATCCGAGACAGGTTGGATGACTTAAATTGTTGTGCTACTGCTGTTGCCTTTGTTATTCAATTCAATAATATCAATGACCATCAAATATATTTTGCTAGTTGCATCATTGGGTAGGAGGTCCTCCAAATCTGTACGATATTAGTGGAAGTGCACACTTCATAAACAAATGTGACAATGGTATTGTTATTCATCGTAACAGAGATCCTTCGGCTGGCCCCGTGGATCAAGTGCAGGTTTGTTTTGCTTAGTAAGATCATTAGTTGTTTACCTTAGATATTTTGCTTAATGTTCTTTTTTTCTAGTAAGATCATTAGTTGTTTACCTTAGATATTTTGCTTAATGTTCTTTTTTTCTACTCTAGGTTTGTGTAAGAAAGGTACGGAATAAAGTTAGTGGAACAATTGGTGATGCCTTCTTATCATATGACAGGTACTTGATATTTTTAATGCGAACTCCCCAAACATTTTATGGAGTCCTTATGTTATTATTTCTTCTAACAACATGCTGTGTACTAAGAACTCAAAGTGAAACTAGATCTGTTTATATTTTCAATCTCATAGCTAATTTACTTCTGAGGAGTTTTTGCTTTTCCTTTGTTTTTGTTAACAACAAAATAAAGATGTTTCTAAGAGTGCTGGAATTGGTTACATAACACCCTTTTTCAAATAAAAAGAAACATTGCTTTGATATTTATGACTTAGCTCTAAGACACTGTAACAGTCTAGAAATTCAGCTACCCATAAAAGAAAAATCGATTCAGAATAACAACTTGCTAAAGCGTTAGATGGTGATACTTGCCTCTCTCTGTTTTGCAGGGTTACTGGTGAATTCATGGACATTGATGAGCACCCAAGGAAAGGCTAGTTAGCAAATTCTGGATATTCTTCCATTGTACATAACGGGAATGATACTTACTTGACCTGTGATGAATGATCACATCGCTCCTAGAAGAAGTTTGCAGCCATATTATGTGGAAATCAGGCAGAAAAATGTCGCAGTGGTTGGCATACATATATGTAGTGGAGCATTGTGCCTAGTGAAGTTCTTCGCTTTAGTGGCTCTTGTAAGATAAGGTAACAAGCAACTATTAAGCTTAGAACATCAATTTTCTTAGGGCGGCGGTGTTGGAAGCTTTAAAATTTACCTCTTGTTGAATTGTTCAGTAAGTGTGCTTGATTCCTGGCAGATTAAATTAGTCTGATAGTGCTTAGGTGATCCAATGCCATATTCTCAAGTTAACATTTGTTTTGGTCGTGGCTTATTGTTGTAAAATTAATTGGGTTGATCCCAATAGGAAATATTAATGATTGATTGTAGGCATCCTTCTTTCACAGATGTTATTGGCTTTGCCTATGTATTCACTATATTACTATTGTATGTGTTCTCTAGTCTAGCCAATTGTGTGGTTGTAGGTTAATGTTAGCTCCTTTTTGCTCTGGGCTTCTTACTCAACTACACAGGTGAAAAAAAGTTTATGCCTAGTGTATTTATGTGGTATAAATAGCTATATAATGTATCGATTCGAAATTTTATATTAATGTATAATTGTGTATATATGATGCATAATATGTAGTGGAAATTTAACAGTGTTGTACAATGTTATATATTGCAACTGTTCGAGGAAGAAGCCCCGGCTAACTCCGTGCCAGCAGCTGCGGCAAAACGCGGGGGGGTGGGGGGGGCGCAAGTGTTCTTCGGAATGACTGGGCGTAAAGGGCACGTAGGCGGTGAATCGGGTTGAAAGTGAAAGCCGCCAAAAATTGGCGATTCGTGTGTAGATCTTTTTTCATGAGTTGATTTTTTTTAAAAAAAAATCGCGATCAGCAACTCTTTAAACAATTTCATCTTTTTTCATGAGTTGATTTTTTTTTATATCGCGATCGGCATCTCTTTAAACAATTTCAAATTTTAAATATGAGCTTTTTTCGATGTTTCAATTTTTTTTTCATGTATTATTCACTTAAAACCGTTTGTGTGTAGTTGAACTTCAAAATTTTACCTTGGAAGCTTTTCAAGTGGGGAGTGTAATACACATTCGACTCAAATTCCTCTGGACAGTCCCAAATTAAAATTGTGAGTTCCTCTTGAAATTTCGTATTTATGATACATTAGTTGCTACTATTTCAACAAGGAGTCTGCAAGAAAATTGTAGGTAGACAACAAATGCCTAAATGCAACAAGATTGATACTTCCATTTAGCTACTTTTGAGGGTTGAGTTTTTATGCTTAAACATACTTTTCTATTCTATACTATCCATTACTTTATTTCAAGTTGATTAAATTTCTTTATAGGATTGGGCATGCACCTACTCTATTTTGACTAAATAAACAAAATCCTTGCTACTCATTCTCAATTATAAAGAACATACAACAAAAATAAGAAAAATTCATTGTTTTAAAAAAAATTTAACAATATTTCTAAGAATCTAGCCTAAATAGGTGCAAGAGCTTCTAACAGAGTACAAAGAAAGAAGAAAGATAAAACAAGATTAAAAAACCACTCAAGGTCGCAGTAAGCCGATAAGTAGAAGAGTAACCGTCATTCTTAGACTTAATCAATTTGAAACAGCCTTACACCAACTCCCTTTTTCTCATTATCAAATAGGAGTCCTTTTTTTCTTTCACAGTTGTGATATCTTAACACAAATTTAAATACCAATAATCACTTTATAGTTGGAATTTGTGTTAAAGAAAGTAACGAGTAGAACATAGAAATATATTGAAGGAAAAGAAAACATTTTACTGTCGGAGAGATTTAAATCAACTTACAACAAACTATCTTCTACAACTTATAAAGAAAAGGAAATAACTTAACCACAAACAATAACTGAAACCTAAAAGCCAGGACCTGCTAAAGACGTGGGAAACATGTAGAAAGTAAATGTCTCCACTAATAACTGTAACATAGAATTAATAGTTAAATTAAATTCTTGACATTCCCTCCCTTTCAGTTTAATTTCTTGAATATACATCCACAAAAGTACAAACTCCAAGTGATTCCCTAATGTCACGGGGTGAATTTTTCCGCACCGTGAAGGACAGTCAAGAAGGCTTGCACGGCTCTTCTAACTCAGTCCAACCAAACGTCCAAAGAATCTAAAGCAAGAGTCCACAAGCAAAGCCACAAAATAGAAAATGAAAGCAAGAATGAAGGCAAGAAAGGCAACCGAGTTTGGGAGGCAGCAAGCCCAATTTTCCAATATTTCCAAGAGAGCTTCCAAGAGCTTTTTACAAAGTAAGAGAGAAAGTATTTTTCTAACTATCCTATCTGAATGGAAACTTCTACAATATACAAAGGCTCCAAAAGTGAGCCAAAAACGTGTGGGCAAGCATTCAAAATAAAAGCTACAAGTGGCAAATTTTCTGAGGCTAGAAAAGAGGCAGTTTTGTCTTCACAGCTTTACTACCACATGGCAGATTGCTTGCACAGAATTTTGTCTTTCAGCCCTTGGCTGGCCTGGTGAGCATGGCCTGTTTTCTCCATGTTGGCAAGCAACCTCCAGCATTTGGGGAGGCAGTTTGACAAGGCATTTGGACGCTCCAAGCTTTGAGGAAGTGCTGCTGGATTATTGGAGACGCTGGAATTTAATGTTCCGCCTTGCGGGGCGGGACACGCTCCACCGCCTTGTGGGGTGGGACACGCTCCACCGCCTTGCAGTTAGCCGTGGTGGCGGTGAACGTCGCATATTTGGAGAAGCGATCCACCACGACCATAATTGTTCCGAAGCCCTCTGAATTTGGCAAACAGGTTATGAAATCCATTGTGACGCTGTCCCAAGGCTTTTCAGCAATGGGCAGCGGCTCCAGCAATCCGCCCGGTACCTTTGTCTCAACTTTGTCCTGTTGGCAGATAAGGCACGTTCGCACATACACCTCGATGCCATCCCGCATCCGAGGCCAGTAGTATAAAGCTTCAAGTAAGGCCAAGGTCCTCTTCTGCCCCGGGTGACCAGCCCAAGCAGAGTCGTGGCCTTCCTTCATCAAGGTACGCCGAAGGCTAGCCCACTTCGGGACGTACACACGCCTGCCCGTTGTATAGAGCAGGCCGTCTTCCTCCCAAAACTTCTTCGTCTTGCCTTGTTGGGCCAAGGCGAAGAGTTGTTTAGCAATGGGATCATGCTGCAATCCCTCCTTAATGTCATCAACAAGTGAGCTGCTGCTTGAGCTGACAATGGCTGCCAATGAAGTCCTGCGGCTAAGGGCGTCAGCCACCACATTCGCTTTCCCCGGCTTGTACTCCAGAGTAAAGTCGAACTCTGCTAGGTAGTCTTTCCATCGAGCCTGCTTGGCGGACAACTTCTTTTGGGACTGAAAATATGTTGTCACGACGTTGTCCGTCTTGACGACAAAGTGAGCTCCCAGCAAGTAGTGGCGCCACGTTCTCAGGCAGTGCACCACGGCTGTCATTTCCTTCTCATGTGCTGAGTACCGCTGCTCCGCTTCATTCAGCTTCCTGCTCTCATAGGCTATCGGGTGGCCCTCTTGCATTAGGACGCCACCGATAGAGAAGTCTGATGCATCCGTGTGGACTTCGAATGGCTTGGAGAAGTCTGGCAAGGCCAACACAGGATCTTCCGTCACAGCCAACTTCAGCCTCTCAAAGGCAGCTTGGCAAGCTGCCGACCAATTCCAGTCACGGTCCTTCTTCAGCAAGTCTGTGAGAGGAGCTGCTATGGCGGAATAATTGAAGATGAAGCGCCGGTAGTAATTAGCAAGGCCAAGGAAGGACCTCAATTCTGGTACCTTCGTTGGTGCTTCCCAATTGTTGATAGCAGCTATCTTGTCGCTATCCATATGAATCTTGCCATGGCTGATAGTGTGCCCAAGGAAATGGACAGTTGGTTGCACGAAACTGCACTTCTCACGCTTCACATACAGCTCGTTGTTGCGCAGGATCTCAAACACTTTGCACAAGTGCTCTACATAGTCCTCCATGTTGTTGCTGTAGACCACGATATCATCCAAATAAATCACAACAAACTGATCCAAGTAAGAGTGGAACAGTCTGTTCATCAGCGTGCAGAATGTCGCTGGTGCGTTCGTCAACCCAAATGGCATCACCAGCCAATCGAACGCACCATAACGCGTTACACAGGCAGCCTTCGGCTCATCACCTTCGACAATCCGAACTTGGTGATACCCTCTTCTCAAATCCATTTTGGTGAACACCTTCGCCTGTCCCAACCTGTTTGAACAAATCTGCAATCAAAGGCACGGGGTATTTGTTCTTTACCGTGACCTTGTTGAGGGCCCGATAGTCGATGCACAACCGCAGCGTCTTGTCCTTCTTCTTCTGGAATAGCACAGGCGCACCAAACGGCGCCTTGGACGGCCTGATGTGTCCAACATCCAGCAACTCCTTGAGCTGCTTCCTTAACTCCTCCAGTTCCGGGGGCGCCTTGCGATAAGGCGTCATGGCAGGCGTCTTTGCCCCTGGAACTAGCTCAATTTGATGGTCAACTTCCCTCCGTGGTGGTAGCCGTTGGGGAAGTTCTGTTGGCATAACGTCCTTGTTGCTGCTAAGGACATGTTCGATGCAAGGTGGCAATGGAACTGCCTCAGGGCAGCTCCCAGTGTCTTCAATCAGAGTGGCAAGAAATGTTGGATCGCCTCTCTTGAAGCCCTTGATGATCTGCATTGCCGACAATTGCATTCCAGTTTGTGGTACCCGAATCAGGGGTACCACGCAAGAACCACCGGTGTCACTGATATGAAGCTGGTTGTGACGCGGCGAGATGAAGGCATTGACTTCATACCAAAAGTCAAGTCCTAGGATGACATCAAATACATCCATCGGGGCAATTGTAAAATTAGTTTGCCCGGCCCACTCTCCTAACTCAATCGGAACTCTAGGCGCGAAGCCAGTGACAGTAGTAGGAGTGGCGTTGACGGTCTTCAACTTGGTATTACTGGCAACATAACTTAGGCCCAGCTCCCTGGCCTTCTGCTCAGTCACAAAGTTGTGGGTTGCCCCTGTGTCTACCATGATCCGCACGTCTGTGCCGTTCAGCTTGGCATCGACGAACAGAGATTCTCGAGGCCTGACGCTAGCTGGTTTGGCAACCAAAGCAGCAATGGAGATGTGGCTGATCAGCTCCATATGATTGAACATGCCTACGGCCACGTTCTTGCCTTTGTCAGCTCCGCTACTCTGCCCACGTTTCTCACCGGCAGAGCTGTCCGCTTGCGCTGCAGCCTTCTCTTGCTGCTTCTCGGCAGCTACCATGGCACTCAGCTTCCTCAAAGACGGACAGTACCGAGCGGCATGTGTCGTCTCTCCGCAGATGTAACAGCCTTCCCGCTGAGGAGCACCCCTCTTGCGGTCTTCATAATTTTTCCGAAAGTTTGAAGGCTCATTATGAGGGTTGCTTCTCGTGTCACTGCTCCGGCTGGTATTTGGTCTGCTCCGTCCACTGTTGTTGTTGTCGACTTTGGGAGGAATAGTTTTGCTCCTGTTATCCCTCCCTTTTGCAGCATCACCATGGAAATCATTGAGCGATTCCGCCACTACGATCGCCTCGTCAACGTCATGCACTTGACGTCGTTGCAGCTCCTGCCTGGCCCAATTCTGAAGGCCATCAAGGAAATAGAATAGAAAGTCGTCACTCATCAAACTAGGAATCTGAAGTGTTAACTTCGTGAATTCCTTCACATACTCCCGGATGGAGGAAGTCTGCTTTAGCTCCCTCAACTTCCTGCGGGCTTCGTGGACGACGTTCTGGGGATAGAACTGCCGTTTGAGCTCAGTTTTAAACTGCTCCCAATCATCAATCTGGCAAGCCCCTCTCTCCATATCAGCCTTTTTGCATCGCCACCACAGCATGGTTGTGTCCGTCAAGTACATAGCCGCTGTCCGGATCTTGGCCGCTTCTGTGCGCATGTCAACATGTTCAAAATAGGACTCCATTTTCCATATGAAGTTCTCTACGTCCTGAGCACTCCTATCCCCTCTAAATTCTTTGGGTTTAGGAGCCTCAATCCGGGTTTCTCGAACAATAACGGGAGAAGCAACTCCCGCCTCGACAGTCTTATCAACCTGCCGTTTCAAAGCCTCCACCTCTCTTTGAAGGGCAGAGATGGCTTCGTTGAACTTGATTTCAAGGGCGGACAGACCCTCTCTTTGAACATCTTCAAGATCAGCCAAGCTGTTCTTCAGCTCGTCCAGCCCTTCAATAGCTACGGACTCGAGGGAACTAAAATTATTTTCAACCACCACAATTCTCCTGTTCAAGGCTGACAACCCCACCTCAACTCTGACGATTCTCTCGTCGAGTGGGTTGTTGTCCGCGCCTCCTTCCTCTTCAACAACTGTACGACCAGCAAGAGAAGGGTTAGAAGAGGGCTCTCTTACCTTGCTCTTGTCTCGCCTCTTGGATGGTTCTTTTCGAACTTCTGGTTCCTTATCTTGAACGATCTCCTCATTCCTTTGTGACCTGGACGTCATGCTCAACTGTTGCTCTGATACCAACTTGTCATGGGGTGAATTTTTCCGCACCGTGAAGGACAATCAAGAAGGCTTGCAAGGCTCTTCTAACTCAGTCCAACCAAACGTCCAAAGAATCTAAAGCAAGAGTCCACAAGCAAAGCCACAAAATAGAAAATGAAAGCAAGAATGAAGGCAAGAAAGGCAATCGAGTTTGGGAGGTAGCAAGGCCAATTTTCCAATATTTCCAAGAGAGAGCTTCCAAGAGCTTTTTACAAAGTAAGAGAGAAAGTATTTTTCTAACTATCCTTTCTGAATGGCAACTTCTACAATATACAAAGGCTCCAAAAGTGAGCCAAAAACGTGTGGACAAGCATTCAAAATAAAAGCTACAAGTGGCAGATTTTCTGAGGCTAGAAAAGAGGCAGTTTTGTCTTCACAGCTTTACTTCCACATGGCAGATTGCTTGCACAGAATTTTTTCTTTCAGCCCTTGGCTGGCCTGGTGAGCATGGCCTGTTTTCTCCATGTTGGCAAGCAACCTCCAGCATATGGGGAGGCAGTTTGACAAGGCATTTGGACCCTCCAAGCTTTGAGGAAGTGCTGCTGGATTATTGGAGACGCTGGAATTTAATGTTCCGCCTTGCGGGGCGGGACACTAAGCTTCACAAACTATGCATATTTGAGGGATTTAGTGAATATGTCAGCGACCTGCTGATCTTCACTTGTTCATTACATAAGATCAATTACCCCATCTTCAGTAAGATTTTTCAAAAAATAAAACTTTACATCAATACGCTTGCTTCTCCCGTGTAAAGCAGGACAATTTTATAGCTGAAATGTTGTCATAATAAATTGTTGAAATTCAGCTCAATTAGAATATTTCTTAGCCAAATGGCTTGCGAGACATGTGCAGTAGCTACAACAAATTCAACTGACAAAGTGATGATTGGCTACTTCACTGATGACCATGAGACTGCACCTCAACTCAGCATAAACACATAGCATCAAGTACTCTTCCTATTATCCAAGTTTCCAACATAATCACTATAAAAAAAACAAAAAAAAAGACCAAATGAGCACTGTATTTTCTCCCTTTCTGTCCAACAATCCAAAGTCTATAATACCTTTTAAGTATCGAAAAATCTCTTCTCCAATTCTCCATGAATTTGCTAATGAGACCTACAACGTGTGTGATATCTGGCCTTGTTGTTGTCAAATACATCAGACTTTCCACAATCTATTCTTAAAAGTTTTCATCGATCTTTATTCCTCCAACATCCTTTGTAAGTTGTGAAGTCACAGGATTGCAATTGCTCATTTGAAATTGATTTGAGATAAGAAATATATATTTTTAATTATTATTTGACTCATATTTATCATTTATATCTATTCTTTTTAATATAAATTTTATACATTGTTTTAAATAGTGTATTTTATTTGTAGGATTAAATTAACATAAAGTTGAAGAAATTTGAAGCTAAAAAAAATTAAATATAAAAGATTGAAAATAGGAAATCAAGCAGGTAACTTAATAGATTATATATATATATCCAAAGAACGTCAATTGACATTGGTCTTACCACGTGGCAGCAATTGAAGACACAAGAATGTGAGGTGGTTCGACTGAAAAAAGAGAGAGTCAAATTTCATTTGATTTTGGATTCCTAATTTACTTTGGACTCAATTATTGTATTTAGGGTATATTATATCTATAAATAGTCTATACAAATAAATATTGGAGGCATTCAACTAGAGGAACGAGTCTAGAGGAGGTACTTTGGAAGAGAAAGCCGTCAATACTTTTTAGGGTTCTTTTCTTCTTCTTATTTTCTTAGAAATTAGTAGTTAAAACCCTTATTCTAGGGTTGTAGCTTAGGATTGAATGTTGAGTATTAATGGCATTTTGAATTAATTTTTTTTTGTCATTATAAGTTACTTTTGATCATCATGAGATAAATCTATTGTCCAATCTTAAAATCGAGAGACGAGAGGTTAGATAGACCAGAGAATATAGAAAGCTCGATCGACCCATTAGATTGAGGTGATTTGTGTTAGGAGTGATGCCCGGACGAAAAACTTTCTTGGTTACGAAATAGGATGAAATATAAATGCTCACCAATTGGTTTTATTTATCCCCGCTCAACAAAGTTGTTAGGTTTCTAATTGGAGTAGGCGGCGAGAGTTGTGTAGCCCGACTCATACAATTAATCCTATAAACTAGTAACTTGACAATTAAAATTAGTTCTAAGCCAAAAATTTGATACATGAAATTCAATATATGTTGCATCCCTGGGATTTTCCGAACTATTGTAAGTAATTTTATTATTTTATTTCTGCTTTTTTTTCTTTTGCACTCTTTAATATATAATTAGACTGGTATAATTTTAGTAAGAATAGTTAACTGACAAGTCCTTTGGGATCGATAATGTGGTTCTTTTAGAAGCCACTATATTACTTGCGTGATCAGGTACATTTGTGTGCGCAATTGGGAGCACCAAGTTTTTGGTGCCGCAGCCGGGGACTTAGAAATTAACTATTCTTATATATTATATTTTTTTCTTTTTATTTATTTAAATTTTTTTATTTTTGTTAATTTTTTTCTAAATAATTAATGTTTTTTCTTTTCTTTCTTTCTTTGAATAATTTGATACTCTTATTGATATGAATGATTAAAATAAATCGTGGTTGGGTGACGAAAGTCATTTATGTCATATATGTGATCGTCAGTGTATTCATTGGAATGGTGAATAATTTGATACTCTTATTGATAGGGATGATTAAAATAAATTGTGGTTGGGTGACGAAAATCTTTTATGTTATATATGTGATCGTTAGTGTATTAATTGGAATGGTTGTCCGAAATCTGATTCCTTCCCCCAAACCCCTATTATGATTCTTCTATTATTTGTGATGTTGGTAGGGGCGATGAAGTGCAAAATGCCAAACAAGTTTTACTTATTGAATGTATGGACATGTTGGATAAAGTTAGTTCAAACATCACTGGAGAAATATTTGGATGCACAGAAGGGCACAAAGCAATTATGAAATCCATGTATGAGCTTGACACTATTCAATTAGAAATTACAGCCCTAGCTAAATCAGTAGAGATTGCAGTTCAACAAAAAGAAAGCTATGAAAAAGCAGAGATAGTGAGTCAATCTTGGCTACAAGAACAAACTTAACTTCTAAAGTTTCAAGAGTGTATCTGTGATGACATGATATACATGACAACCCAATTGATTGAAGAAAGAGTTGATCTACACAAGAAATAGATCAATTTGGTTCATATACATGACTTAGAGGCTCACTTGAACAAAAACAATTAGGGTGTCTGAAGCCAAATTATCAATTGTCTTGGATAACGATCAACTAGTGGAGCAAAAAGAGAAATTTCAACCATTCAACTATACTTTATTCCTTAATAGCGATGTTGAGAAAGAGTACAAAAGTGAGAATGTTGTAAATAATTATGCTTTAGAATTGAGGGAACTTGAATCTCATTCAAAATATTTTTCTATAAAATCTGAACTAATGGATGAGTGTATTCACGAGGAACAAGGTCCCTACATTCTAATGTTTTTTAGTCCACGTAGACAAAACAACATTCCTCACTTAAGGGCCAAAAAGTGCAAGATGCGACATATATTACTTGGTTCCTTTATCGTTATACTCACCCCTTGAGAGGAGTAGAAAAATAGATGCAAAAGTTAGGGGTAAAATTCATAATTCAAAGTGGAAAGAAAAGTAGTAAATTTGTTTGTGTTGTATACATTAAATTAAGCACTTATTGGGAGGCAACCCAATTTATACTGTAACTTCTTATTTTTATTTTTTATTATTGGTATTTTTTTGTGTGTTGTTCTTACAGGTTTTGGAGAATTCTGAGTATCCAAAATTTGAAGCTAAGGAGCACGTTGGAGCTTAAGTCTGGGGTGTGTACGAACCTTGATGAAAATTGAGAGAACATGCCACTAGCTAGGCCTCAAGGAGTTTTCCTAACCCTTGTTTTAAATTTTGATTGATGCTTTGGAGAGATAACATCTTTTTAAGTGCGGGGTGGAGGAATAAATTTCTAGTTTTTATTGTTTTATTGAGTCTTTTATTTTTTAGGATGGGTTCTTGACTTTTGTTTCTGGTTCTTTTCCCAAAAATATGTCTTTTGAACAGAGTATCTTTTATTTTATTTTTTTAGGAATAAGTTTTTTATTTCATTCTTTAAAGAAAAGAAAAAATCATTTTAAGTGTTGTGATACTTGCCATTTAGGTCTAATTTTTTTGTAGTACTTTCTTGTGAATACTTGATTACAAAAAAAAATGCAAATTTTTTGTCACCTAAGCTCATGGTTGTGACTTTGTATAAAGCTTTTATTTTGTAGTTTGTTATGATCATGTTTATCTTAGAAGTGGAGTGGATCCATATTGATACTTGTGCCATGTGTGGTGAGATTTTATTTATTCCATGTTTTGCATCTTAGCATAGAACTTGTCGTGCATGTTATTGAAGCGAAATAAAAGGTAATGTTTTTTTTAGGAGATGATAATAGGCTTTCTTTGATTTTTCTAGTAAATTTTAGCCTTTTTAGATATTATATCACTAGTTAGCCTTTTTAGATGTAATATCACTAGTTAGCCTTTTTTAGCCTATAGTCTTTTGTTGGTAGTCATATTTTGCCCTTGACTATCTGTTGAAGCCCTAGTTTTTGCACCTTGCTTCCTTGAGCATTATAACATAAACTTATTCTAATTATCAATGCTGAGAAAAGGGGATGGGGATGGTTGAGTGAAAAAATAATCAATGATAGTTACAGAGTACTTAAAAATCCTCTTTGAAAGAATGTGATGCGAAGAAAAAGATAAACAAAAGAAATTACCTTGATGATGGCCCTAGTCCTTCCAAGGACATCATGCACCTTAACACATGTAAAATATGTAAGTTGGGTTTGGCTACTATGAAGGAAACTTTTGAAAAAATGATTGAAACATTCTTGAGATGATGAGAATCACTTGTGAAATAATTGT